TATATATATATCTATATATATATATATATATATATCTTAATGTTGACTTCAGAGAGTATTCATATTGTAAAGGGAAGTTAATTGGATAATAAAAATAATACCATGAAATGGGTTGAAACATGAACTTTGGGTGGGACATACTGATTATTTAAAAAAATTAAATAAAAAATTCCAATTGGTTTTTGTTGAGTCACAGCCATGTTCAATAATTTGTCTCTTATAGGTGTTATTAGAAGGAAGGATTAATTTGATTGGCCAAAAATCTGTGTAGTGCATGTATGGGGGTAGAATCGTTGCATAATTCCAAATAAATACATTATGATCCACAAATAAATGTAAAGAGATTAACAAAAATAAAATGTATTGATAAATAAATAGAATGAGATCCACAAATAAATCTTAGAGTTTCACAAACAAGAATTAAATTCACACAAAAAATAAAATGAGATTTGCAAATAAAAAAGATATTCACAGATATATTTTTATGACACAAACACAACTTTGCCTGGCATTCAGTTGTGAATCGTTGCGCTTATTTGTGGATTTTGAGACATTTCAAGCGTCAAGAGGCAAACCAATCCACAAATGGATGGACTCCACCCCCTTCTACTTAAGCCAATCAGATACCGGTCACGTGGCGCCGACCAATCGTAGCGTGTTCTCGCTCCAACCAATCACGTTTTGCCTTACAATCAGTGTGGGACCAGGCACCAAACACGCTATTCTGGCTAATTAACCGCTTCAAAATGGACGATCAGGACAGTTTAAGACAGGTAAGTGGTGCTCATCACAGCATTATTGTAATAATATCTAAAATAAAACAAGTAATGTTATATGTCATTTAATCAGTGTTTCCTGTATCACTACTGTACGGTGACACATTGCTGCCGCACACATATTATTTTTTCCACTCAATTGTGTCATAATAACGAGATATGTCGTTTTAATTAAACACAACTTTGCCTGGCATTCAGTTGTGAATCGTTGCGCTTATTTGTGGATTTTGAGACATTTCAAGCGTCAAGAGGCAAACCAATCCACAAATGGATGGACTCCACCCCCCTTCTACTTAAGCCAATCAGATACCGGTCACGTGGCGCCGAGTTCTCGCTCCAACCAATCACATTTTGCTTTACAATCAGTGTGGGAACAGGCACCAAACACGCTATTCTGGCTAATTAACCGCTTCAAAATGGACGATCAGGACAGTTTAAGACAGGTAAGTGGTGCTCATCACAGCATTATTGTAATAATATCTAAAATAAAACAAGTAATGTTATATGTCATTTAATCAGTGTTTCCTGTATCACTACTGTACGGTGACACATTGCTGCCGCACACATATTATTTTTTCCACTCAATTGTGTCATAATAACGAGATGTTATGTCGTTTTAATGACATCTTTTCTCGTTTTAACGACATATTTTCTCGTTAAAACGACATGTTTCCCATCATTATAGATATATGGTACATTATGTGAGCGAGCTAAGCGACTGTCCGCGCTGCTGTCGCCACAGTCTGACATAAACCAGGATCTGCACGCTGCTGAAATTATTGAAATACACTGTTTTAAATGTATTTTAATGTAATGGTTTTAATTGTAGTGGCATGTTTATTAGGATTAATCTCCAATCTGTCTACAATATATATGCTATCCAATAACTGCACTGACCCATGACTCCTTTAGGCTATGATCAGATCAAAACTGGGCTTAATATTTCTTTATTTGAATGACTTATTTCCGGGTCCAATACATTGGTTTTCGTGCACGTCAATAAGTCATTGACTGATTTGAAGCATATTTACATTACTTCTTTTATTCTATTTATTCTAATAATTATAATTATTAAATAATTCTGTTGATTATTTATTCTATTCTATCTTTTATTCTTCTATTTTTTTCTGCCCTTTTTTAATTATTTCATTTATAAATTCATAAAAAAAGACTAATAAAGTGTATATTATACACTTTATATTATAATCTCATTGCACTTGCCTAAAGTTATAGGTGTAATCTGCCGATTGTCCTGCAGGTGACCGCATAAATCTGTCTTCTTACGATGCACTTAGGGCTTTACGATTACTCCAGAGCACTCGTAGATCGACGATGATTTACAAGTGCTACTTAAGTTACGATGCTTTTGGGAAACAGACCGTAATATTAAGATCAGTCGTACGATCGTTTTACGAACTTCTTAGGCTTACAAAGCTTTGGGGAAACGCAGCCCTGGAATTTTACCCAGAAGAAGAACGCGATGCGCGGCTTGATTCAGTTAAGATATCATTTAATAATATATAATCACTAATACATAATTAATATATAATCAGACTAAAGTGTCAAAAGCTGCCCACGCATGTGAAACAAATATTAAAGCATAAGCTCATTTGTTTACCCACGAACAAAAATAGGCCTACGAAAAATCTAGCTTAATTTTTGTTTGCTCATTTTCAAACAGAACGAAATAATAATAATAATTATTATTATTACAATATAACAGCAATGCGTCACCATTGAACATCATTGTATATAATACATATCTAGAATTACAAAAATGACAATATAGTTTCATGCATTTACAAGAATGACTTGATTTTCTTAGTTCCCAAATGCATATTTTCATGTAAACCATTCCTTTCAGCTGAACTCATTTTCTCTCACTTATCACATTTCGTCACACCACAGGATGGGAGTCTTCAGTGCCCCTCATGTAAGACAATCTACGGAGAGAAGACCGGTACCCAACCAAAGGGCAAGATGGAGATTTACAGTATTCCTCAGTCTTTGCCTGGACACCCAGACTGCGGCACAATACAAATCATTTACAACATCCCGCCTGGAATACAGGTCTGACTTGGCAAGCTGATATATGTTTATTTGCATCATGATTCAATTTTATTCTTAACAATAACCGTTTTAGGAGAGGTAAATAAATGAACTGAAAGAAGTGCTAGTGGTCCATATGAACCAGTCAAATGTTTTCATCCAACTGCGTTTGTTAGGAGCATAAATGACTCATTCCTTTGTGTGGAAATGGTTTTGTCCTTGCCACGGCCCGCACTAAGCACTCATCATCTTAATGCACTCTATGTCTGCAGGGTCCTGAGCACCCAAACCCTGGGCAGCCGTATACATGCAGAGGATTCCCTCGCTTCTGTTTCCTTCCTGACAATGACAAAGGAAGAAAGGTAATGGAGGGAATTGACCCAGTTCAAATAAAGATTTATGCCATGCTCATTTGTCAGAATATTGAATCACTAGCCCCTTTCACACATTAAACCTGTTAAAGTACTGTTCCAGTACTACGTGTTACACAAGCATTGGCTTTCTGTGCTACCATTCACACACTGACACCAACATGCCATTAAAATGTCATTGCGTGTAACAAATTTAGCAGGCTAGTACTAGTTTGAAAAAATAAAATTAAAATAAATGGCCAGCCACTAGAGATTTAGATTTGAATGCCCTGTGCGTGTATTGTTGTTTATGTTTGCTGTATTTTTGTAACTAAAGGTGTGGTCACATTAAAAAAAGGCCCATGTCAATAGTGAAGTGATGCACAAAGCACCACTCGCACAGAAGTCCCTTTCAAACCAATCAGCTTTTCTGTTGGTGAATGCGGGAAATTCATGTGAAAAGCTTGAACCTGATGCAAAATCAGTGCGGTGAAATGTTTTTCCTATTAAAATTAGCTTATATTAATTTTCAAGAATTAAAATGTCTAATGTATTTACATTTATAATTTTAAATCACTAATTCTCTAAACTTAATATTTATTTTTTAAAATGTTAATTTTTTTAAATTATCACACATATTCTCACAAATATTTTTTTAATCAAATGTTAACTTTTCTGTACAAATAAAATATGCAATAATGACTCCAAATTATAGAGTTGTTATAATTATACAAGAAATTCTTAGACAACAATAAATTAATAAACACTGGATAATGATGGCATGCATGGAAATGCTTTTACTGAATGTAATTTTCAACCCATTCTTAACTAGTCATTCTTGCGGTATTCAACAAAAACCTCATCGGTGTTTGCAGCTTAACAAGTTGACAAGCTGAATTTGCAAATGTCACAGAAAAATACACATTTAAAGGGATAGTGCATAATAGTGCAAAATGTTGTTCCAAACACTTCTGCCTGTTCCAGACTTCCATTTATCTTCGGCACAGAAATGAAGATATATTTAATATTCTCTCATCACTTGTGTTCATTCATTGAAAGTCTAGGTAATCAACATTTTCATGCTTCAAAAAGTGCATAAAGACATTGTAAAATTAAGTTATGAATCGGGCCGTTTTATATTATATACAATCACTTTATGTACTGTTTAAAGCTTGAAAATTTTGATTACCTAGACTTTCAATGAATGAACACAAGTGATTAGAGAATATTAAAAATATCTTCATTAGTGTTCCAACGATGAACGGAAGTCTTATGGGTTTGAGATGACAGAAAATTGCTTTTGCAAGGTCTAAAAATGCATATGCACATTTAAAAATGGCCCATAGGGAAAGTGGCCCGTCTTTGTTATTCAGCCCTGTATGTTCACATATTTATGGGCTAGTTGTGTCAGTTTCTTCAGAAATTTTGTCTGAAATTCCCTAGAATCCTCCACTTACATCAGAGCATCCTAACCTCATAAAGGTCGAAACTTTAAGAGAATGTTTAAACTCATTTATTGATTGTCGATAATCGCAGAACATAATTACCTGTTTTCGTAACCTTAGAGTTCATTACAAATTGAATTACATTGCACAAGCGTGTGAGTTTTAACAGCACGTGATTTCTCTTGCATGAAAAACAAATCACTCCATACTGCAGTGAAGCAACAAAAGAAATGCAGTATGTATTGGATCACGACCAGGTCTTGCTCAGCATTTAAAGGTCCCCTGAAATGCTTAGAAACACGTAGTGTTACTCTGTGTTGACGTCATTTTAACTGAAACAGGAAGACAGGGCGGGACATATCAAGCAGCCCCGCCCCTTTTTAAAATAGCCAATAGCGTTCGTTTATATCACAGCTTGGGCTAGAGCCGTTGAGCTCCGTAAAGCCGCATTTGACAGGGTATGCCAGCCACAATCTCATCCATATTGCTATAAAATATAGCATTCTGTGTAGAATTCAAACAGCTCCGACTCGCGCATGTGATCCGCTCCGTGCTGTCGTGTCTCTGGACCGGAGCATATGCGGTGCGGTGGTTAGCGTGACAGCGCGAAACCAGACTTCTTTTTTTTTTCCTGAATGGAAAGCATATTTACACTGTTTGAATCATTCCCTGTCCCCTATATAGTGCACTACGTGCCATTCACTGTACAGAAAATACTAATTCTGTGGACAAGTGACCGATTTCAGCCGCGGCTTCAGCATCTATTTTATAGTGTAGGGGGCTTTTATAGTGTAATTTGATTGGACAAAGTTTGATGAGAAGCTGAAGTACTATGTGACGTCAACAAAATCGTTGTGCCGTTTTGGCGGAAGTGACGAACTGCAAGCTATGAATGCTTATATCTTATAAATGCGAATTTTGTCACTGTTTTGGAGCACACTGCCTTCTAGATAACCTTAAGACTAACATATTGATACTAACACCCAAAAAACTTTCATTTTGATTTCATGGGGACTTTAAAGTTTAAAGTTGATCGTTGCACAGCGCTGTGGTTTGCATTTCCCTCTGTGAGCAAACCGCATCCTCTGTTTACTTTTTATAACGGAGGGTCCTGATTATCTCCAACCGTCTCTCCAGGTGCTGGAGCTGCTGAAAGTGGCGTGGACACGGCGCCTCATCTTTACCGTGGGCACTTCCAGCACCACAGGGGAGCCGGACACCGTCATATGGAACGAGATCCACCACAAGACGGAGATGATGTCCAACGTCTCCGGCCACGGCTACCCTGACCCCAACTACCTGGACAATGTGCTCTCAGAGCTGGCGTCACAGGGCGTGACGGAGGACTGCCTGAAATTAAACCCTCAGTGCCAGGGGGCTCAAGGTGCAGCCATGTGAACAGGACTGTCCCATCTACTGTAGATCTAATAAAACTTGATGAAAAGGGAAAACTAGTTACGCTGTTGGTTTGATGTATGCGAATGTAGTTAAATGCAGCGTTCCTCATCCATTTCCACTCTTCGGCTGAGTCTAGAATATTAACGCACATGTAGGGTCACTGCTTTACTTTTTCCGTATTGTAAGGCAGCTACAGATGGTTCTGCGGGAACTGCTCGGTTTAATGTTATAGGTTGGTGCCCAAATCTCATCCCAGGAGGAAACTCGCCAATTCAGGCATCTATCGCAACACATGATTCATCATAGGGGCTATTATGTCCTTCCTGACATACTACATTACAGTAGAGCATCTGCGACTATGATCATTGTACTATTGCTGGGAATCAAGCATACGTTATTTCTTTAAAAGCAGTACGAAAACAGAAAAAGTTGCACATCAATGCAAGTCATAAATCTTTACCAGTACTGTGAAATGTACTGCTACAGAAATGAAAGGCACTTTTACAGAATTTGCAGCTGTTGTGCATTGTTTAAATCTTTTTTTTGTGTGTGTGTGGTTTTCAAGTCGGATGGTGTTCACTTGCTGCTATTTTTTCCTTTTTTTATTGTTTACAATCATGAGGGACTTAAAGGGATAGTCCATCCAGAAATGTAAATTCTGTCATTTACTCACTCTAATGTTGTTCGAAACTTGTATGATTTGCCTTTTACTTGGAAAGGAAAAAGATGTGTTGTTAACCAAATAGTTTCTGTTACCATTGACTTGAAATTACAGTGTAATGCATTTTGGTTCCCAGCATTCTACAAAATATCCTTTATGTTCCACGGAAGAAAGAAATGCATGCAAGTTTGGAACGACATGAGAGTGAGTCAGTGATGGTAGAATTTAAATTTTTGCGTGAACTGACACGTAATCCATTTCTATTGCAGTGATCCCCTCTTTTTTTTTTTTTTTTAAATGAAAGACTTTCAACAGCTTAGCAACACTATATAATGTTGTTTAAAAAAAATTATGTGCTTATTTAATTGTAGTCCGGATCCTGAAAATAGGTGTAGAAATGCAATTCCACAGCGTTATCATTGAGTTGCAGTATTAGATGGTGACACAGAGACAATCAGCAGTGTTTAAGATACAGTTCATTACCACTGCGGGTCTGGAGACATTCATTCATTCATTCATTCATCATCTCATATTCTACAATATGGGATATTTGGTTTTACAGTGTATACAACTGTATATATAAATATATATTCAACTTCTAATCAGCAATAAACATTACACAATATAACACTTATTGTTTTTGTTTCTTGTTACTGAGAAAACACCGAAACACTGAACTCCTTCAGGCATTTGGTTGCAACAAAATATACAAAGATAGCCACCAAAGCCATCAGTAATATCAAGAAAAGGTCACATTTTACAAAAAAAAAAAAAAATAGGAATTGTAAAATCATTTACAATTTAAGACAAGACAGTTGACCCTGAGTGGTCAGCTAAATATCTACAGTGGATCTAAAATATGAATAATTAATTATAACTAGTTATGGTTAATTATTCATATTTCCCCATGAGCTAATCCGCTACATACATTTGCACTCCCAAATTCTTATTTCTGTAATGCGCCCAGAAAATCTACTTTAAATAAATACTTTTTTTTTTTTATTCCCATTATTCTCTAAGCTTTTATTTCAATCTGGAATAAAGGCGGTACATCAAATACTGTCATGTACCATAAATATTTGTATTGTGAATATTTTTCTGTCTTATTATTATTATTATTATTATTATTAGCATTACAGTAATGAATATAAGATTTGCCATAATTGCCATGAAATATATGTAAGAAATTAATACTTAATACAGAAGGGGCAACTTTATCAAAAATTACAGAAAAAAACATGTAGTGTTACAAAAGATTCCTATTTCAATAAATTATATTTTGAATTTTGTGTTCATCAAAGAATCGTGGGAAGAAATTTAAAAAAATATATTTATATATATATATGTATATATATATATATATATATATATATATATATATATATATATATATATATATATATATATATATATATATATATATATATATATATATATATATATATATATATATATATATATATATATATATATATATATATATATATATATATATATATATATATATATATATATATATATATATATATATATATATATATATATATATATATATATATATATATATATATATATATATATATATATATATATATATATATATATATATATATATATATATATATATATATATATATATATATATATATATATATATATATATATATATATATATATATATATATATATATATATATATATATATATATATATATATATATATATATATATATATATATATATATATATATATATATATATATATATATATATATATATATATATATATATATATATATATATATATATATATATATATATATATATATATATATATATATATATATATATATATATATATATATATATATATATATATATATATATATATATATATATATATATATATATATATATATATATATATATATATATATATATATATATATATATATATATATATATATATATATATATATATATATATATATATATATATATATATATATATATATATATATATATATATATATATATATATATATATATATATATATATATATATATATATATATATATATATATATATATATATATATATATATATATATATATATATATATATATATATATATATATATATATATATATATATATATATATATATATATATATATATATATATATATATATATATATATATATATATATATATATATATATATATATATATATATATATATATATATATATATATATATATATATATATATATATATATATATATATATATATATATATATATATATATATATATATATATATATATATATATATATATATATATATATATATATATATATATATATATATATATATATATATATATATATATATATATATATATATATATATATATATATATATATATATATATATATATATATATATATATATATATATATATATATATATATATATATATATATATATATATATATATATATATATATATATATATATATATATATATATATATATATATATATATATATATATATATATATATATATATATATATATATATATATATATATATATATATATATATATATATATATATATATATATATATATATATATATATATATATATATATATATATATATATATATATATATATATATATATATATATATATATATATATATATATATATATATATATAACCATGGAAACCATGATATACAGTGTATATATATATATATATATATGTACTGTATATATACTGTATATAATATATCATGGTTTCCACAAACATAAAGGAGTACCAAATCAGTATATTAGAATGATTTCTGAAGAATATGATGTAATGATGCTGAAAATTCAGCTTTCAGCCAGCACAGGAATAAATTACATTCTAAAATATATTAAAACAGAAAGCAGTTATTTTAAATTGTAATAATATTTCACAATATTAGTGTTCTTATTGTATTTTGATCAAATAAATGCAGCCTTGCTGATCATAAGAGACTTCATTCAAAAACATTAAAAATCTTACCGACCTCAAACCTTTCAATGGCAGGGTTTATATGATCATACAATATACCTTATATTTTTACCTTCAGGATGAAAAAAGACCTGCACATGTTGTTGACAAACATTCAACCTTTCAATATTTATACCTACCATACTTGTAATATTTGAATGTGAATAAAGTCTCCCAGCTGGAATGTAATGTTCTGTCAGTAGAGGACAGTGTTGCTCTATGAGACTGCAGTACATCCGCATCACAGAACTGCTGCTCTTATGCTTTTATAAAGACAAATGCTTTTCACCTGCAGAGTGAGATTCTCTTCTTCTCTCGTGAAATGAAGAGAAAGTCACTGTGCCACCTATCAGATCTAAACTAGTGTTTTAAACAGAAAAGCTAATGACTTTCTACAACTCCTTACGGTTAAGAATCCTTTAGCATCTCTATGCTTTTTTTTAAACTGATATGCGCCTGCAGCACAAAACGGTTGCAAACTTGCCAAGGGATTCATTTTACTATGTACTGTAAATGTCCAAAATGAACTGACTTTAGAAACGCCTGATAAATAAGCAGCCTTTGATTGTAGGTAAGAATAAATCACTGGTAAGGGGTAATGCTGTAAGAAGATGCTTCATGCAAATATGAAGATCAAACAAGATTAACAAGAGAATAATGCTGATGCACAGCGAACACACTTGTGCTCCATGTCTCAAGTGTTGATTCAGATCACAAGAATGCAATTCCTTTGAAATCTTGAGTCCTTGTTACTACTGGGCAGTAATATTCAGACCTGGGCAAAATAAGTGATTGCATGACAATTATAGCATCTTTGAGCTTAGATGGCAGAATGCAATCTTTGTGCACATTTGCAACTCAAATGATGAGTCTGAATAACACAAGTATTTGGAAACGTAAGTCACATTTAAAAAACTTTAATCATCTTTTTTTAAACAACTTTGAAAAAAATCTCTTTTACAGAGTATAATAAAGGTCAATGGGGTCCAAAATAGCATCAAACATGATTGACTTTCATTGTATGGCCCAAAAAACACAGAGACCTTGTTCAAATTATCTTCATCAATATCTTTCAGAAGCAAGAAAGTCTGATTTGGAATGATGTGAGGGTGAGTTAACATTACAATATTGAATTTTTGGTTGAATTAAGTGTCCAAATACTTTTTGGGCCCACTGTATGGCCTTTGAATCACATGAAGATATGATGTAGATCAATCAATAATGTGAGAAGATCTCCTAAAAATGTATTACCCCTCGTTCTGCACCAAACAAATACTTGAAACACAACACTTCTCATGCCAGCTCATTTTGTAACTGATTTACTGCTTGTCTAATTG